GGGTCCACCAATCCACAACCTGACCACTCAATGTCGACCCTGAGGATGACTGGTTCCCGAAGTGTCACCCATCATTTCCTGACAATGTTTGCGTTCTCGCGACCTAATCAGCCCGTTTGGGGTTTAGAATTTGCACTCCGTTATGTTGTGTGAGCACTTGGCTCAAGGCTTTTCCATTCATCATCTCTTATCAGAAATTGCCCTTGGGCACGAAGTGCACCTTGTCGGGTTTAGGCTTAACCAGGCTTTGGTGTTTCTTGAGTCTGCAGCTTGGCACCCACTGCTTCAATTGGGGCATGTGGGTTTACGTCCAGTGGGTGGCAAACTCTAAACCCGCAAAGCCCGTAACAAAACCCAGAATCTAAAAAGAGATGTTGGGCCCTAAAACGAAACGTCTGAAGAACATGATGGGTGTCAAACGGGACCCCAAAGCCGGGTGGCAAACCCAAAACAACTAAGTGGCAAACGCGAATCCCTAAATGGGTCAAATGGCTCTCAAGCGCTCCAAAGTCTGATGAGAGACGGTGGTGGCAAACCCGGAACCACTAACTTTAAAACAAGATGATGGACGGAAGCCCTAACAAGAGTTACGGTTTACGAATGAAGAGGTTATTAAAGCCAAAACCCAAAAAAGGCATGGTTGGCTACAGAAACAACCAAACCCTCATGGGCAGACAGCCCAAAACACAAAAGCAAATGATTGGTGGCCGCAAACCTTAAGTCCAAATCGGACGGTAGAAGTTGGTGGATCCTGAATACGAAACCTCAACCTGAAAGCATGCCCCAGAAGCCCAAGCCCTAAAAGGACATGATGACAAACCCCCAATTTCTTAGGGAGTGACTGGCCGGATGCAACCCCGAACCATAACCAAAAGGAGAATGAAACTCAAACCTTGATCTGACAATCCTAAACCGCAATGATGGATGCCAAACGTTAAACTCGCAAAAGGATGGCTACTGGTGCCCGCAAACCCCAAACAAAACCCAGTTGGAGATGTTGGGTGCCCAATGCAAAACTCAAAACAAGATGGCGCATGCCAATCCTAGTCTATTGTAGCCTTATAGCTTATGTTGTTCGCACACTTAACCCCTCAACTGACTAACAAGGCTCTGCTGCACATGATTCCCCATGTTGGCTGTGCTCAGAGCAACGAGCACAGGAAGCTATGCACAGGGAAAACACGTCTCGAAAGCAAAGCTTGATAAAGTCTGCGAAAGAAGCCCTTGAAGCGTCAAGCAGCCGCTGTTCCACCGGACTCGGGTGGCCGTGGGTGGGCTAAAAAACTTCAGCAAGCAGCAGGCTTGGGAACATCCACCGTCCTTGCAAGTCAAGGATAGCTTACTTTTGGCGTCGCTGCACATGATTCCTGGTGTTGGCTGCGCTCAAAGGAGCAGACACAGGAAGCTATGCACAGGAAACACACATGTCTCGAAAGCAACGCTTGGCTAAGGCTGCGAAAGAAAGCCCTGAGGCATCAAGCAGCCTGTGTGCCATCTTGAGCACGGGCTCGGCGAAAGCAGTTTGCTCGGCAACGTGGCGCCTCTGGTCAGAGGTCAAATTTGCCAAAAGGAGTTGTCCGGCCACGTCCTGCAGGTAAAACTCCAACGTGCAACGCCCTCTCCATTGGTTTTGTTGATATCCTCAGTATCTTGATATAGCCAAGTATCGCCTGACCCTCCCAAGCATTTGGGCGTCATGCCGTTTTCAGCCTCGGAAATAGGCACGTGCAGGAAAAGGAAAGAAAAGACCGTATCCCAGCGCCTTCTGAAAACCGCAGGCGGGCATCCAACAAATGTATGTCGAAGGGCGTGTCGGCGAGCATGGCAACAAGGAATGCGACAGGTGCAGCATCAGAGATCTTCGCATGTTGCCGCGGCTGGTCTTCGTGTGCCCGACAGTGATGTAAGCAACGGGCTTGCAACTCAGAAGGTCGCAGGGGAGAATCAACTCACGCCTGCGAAGGCGAAGAAACCCGCCCGGCCGAGGAAGACCACGAAAGCCGATCAACAGCGTGGCAGTGAAATGTGGCCAACGCCACGCCAGCTTTGGGGGGTCACACGTCGATATCTGGCCGCGTGGCGGCGGGCCTCTACGTTTCAGGGCATACACGGCAATTGCTGGAAATTACACGACTTCGTGCATGTGGCTGTGGAAATGGAGGGGAGTCGTGCTTCAGGAAATCCAAGGACTCGAACTTAGGGCACTCATGTTAGCACACGTTCTCCCAATGATCCGCGACTTTGGGATCGAATTGCGAGCGCCAGACCCAGCTGCAGATGTATTCTATCAGACGTACGTTGTATAAGGAGGCAAAATCGCTGCAAATGGCAGGTTTTTGGGCATGCTCGCAAAATGGCATGAACACTTGTGACACGCCTCGTGTTGCTGAACATGCAACTTTCTTCTGCCACATGTTGTATAAAGAGGCAAAAAGCTGCAAATAGCAGGGTTTGGGCATGTTCGCAAATGTCATGAACACTTGTGACCAGGCCTCGTCTT